AGATTAATAATATTAATGTATTAATATTATATTATATAATATAATATAAAATTATATATATATATATATATATATATATATATATAATATTATATACAACGTATATTATAAATATATATATATATATATGGTTTTTCTTTACAAATTTAGAATACGCATTCGTCTTTTCCATTAGGTCTAGAGTAGTTCGAACAATCCTGTTCGATAGTATTTGAACATTGAATATATGTATATACATATATATACATACATACATATACATATATGATAATTATTTGTACTGAAAGAAAATACTTGATTATTTTAAAGAGAGTCTAGTCACATCGAAATTGTAGTGAACACAATTATTTAACAATCTGGAGGCTACTTTGTATTAAAAAATGGAGTTTCTTCCTTTTCTCGTTTTTGTGTGTTTTTAATAATCGTTTGAACTATTTCTTTAGCTAAGTTTTCCTAGTGTAAGTATTTATGGCTAAAAGTTCCGCTCTCCATCGTTGAGGCGTATCACAAAACTATGTTACATTTTCGAAGCTATGTTGCACTCGAGGAGAACACGATAGAAAAATTCTTTGTCCGATTCGTTCGCCCGTTCGTCGGGGGAACGCGATCGTTCGACGAGCCTAGAACGAGGAGCGTCTTTCTTTTCTTCTTTTTTTTTCATATATATAGACAAGTTTCTCTGGACCTCTTTTTACACGTGTCCTCGGTTTTATGGACGACGGTACGCGTCGATAGAGATTTAGAATTCAATGTAAAATCCAGGAAAAGTGAAATCAGTTATCTAGAGTCTCGCGATCCCGTTTCGGAATCGTTCTACGGTACAATCACTATGAACAGTTTGCCTGATACAGAAGTACTTGATACTGAAGAAGTGTTTGGCCACCGTGTTTCTTTTCTGTTTTCGACGCAAGATCCGTGTTTTTATTTACTAGGTACACATTTGCGGTTGCGGCGACACGAGAAGAAGTGGTTGAAATCGTTGCAACTCCGAGATTATTTCTTGTTCAGAGCAGTTGGTTGGATCGAACGTTGCTTTGTGGCAGTAAGAAACTGTTGGCCGGGTGACTGACGTTACCGGTGATCAAGTTATTACGATGGTAAACCCACGCATTTGATATATTCGATGTCATTTCGGCTTCGGTAATTTTTGTTACTTACGCGTAGATACACATAATTTAACTATATTTCACTAAAAATGGAAATTTTCAGTTCAACAATGTCTTCTTGCAATATGTAGCATACTACGTGTAGACTTTTCTGTAGCGTATATGTACATATTTTTCGAAAATTGTAAAATAAGTTTATTTTGTAATTTCCAGGTGTTCATAATAAATTGATCGCCCGCTGTAGATCGTGGCAGTGCGTCCATATTGACGAGATCGTCTGTCGAAGCTTCTAATTTTCTAATAAAACCATCACAGACTCGTAGTTTCGATGTTGAATCGGAAACAATTGGTTAGAAAGTCGGCAGTGACATTGCAGAAGCGAGAACTAAACAAATTTTACTTATTCTAACGATGATAAACGTTCCGGACGAGATACTGAGACATTTAGAAATATTAAAAAACGTTTAATTGCCGCAGAATCATTGCACGAGAGAAACAAGAAATTATTAAAGTAGAAAATTGGAAAGAATTGTCAGAAACGTAGTACCCAGAAAAGAAGAAATTAGCTCTGTCAGATAATAACCTCGGAGTGTCGTCACCTAAGGCTCTGGCCCCAATGGTGGATTTAATCTCGAGGCGGGATGTAATTACACCCCCTGAGTATTGAAATTCCGTAACTCCAACGAGACCAGGAATGTCTCTATCTAACCCAGCTGAAAGATGCTTTAATCTACAATCTCGACACTAGTGGCCAATGGAGTACAACAGGGTTTTAATACTAGCAAGTAATACTATAATGAGTGGAAGTAATACTTTTCATGTTTAGCCAGCAATGGAAACGTTTGTACGCCCAAATAGAGTTGTGTACGTACAGCATTTCGTAATTTGAAACAGTGAAGAGTTTGCTTTGAAGTCTAGAATGCAATGTACGCTAATTTCAAGATGGCTTCCGCGCTAATCCCCCTTGCCTTATGACCACATCCACGATAATTATTTCGCTATTAGTAATTTGCTAGTTTAAGAATTATTTCTATCTTACTTTTATCGTAAGGAATTTTGTAGTCGGTGAAAGAAATATTTCTCTTATCACAAGCACTTCGTAATTTGTTCAAAACAGTAAACTGTTCTCCTTCGAAGCCTGTAGAACGTAGTCGCACGCTAGCTTTAAAATGGTTCCCACATACGATCCTTATGATTTATTTTATAATCAAATCCATATATAATCCATATATCTAGTATAAAGATTAATAGCATTTCTCTACTTTATTCTTATCATAAGGAATTCTGTAATCAATGGAAGAAACAATCACCGTAATTTCTCTCTATTTATGAAAACGAAGATCATCGGCCTCCCTCCCACCCCCCGTTGGTACAAACGTGTTTCCATTGCTCGCTACTCGTCCACGCGAATAAGAAATTCTATGTTCCCCCGTTTAACTGAGTCTTTATCGTCATTTTATCACCAGTTGCGAAAATATCTTTCCCAACGTGTTTTTGTGCGCACGCAGATCCGTGTCCCGTCCCCCTGAAACGCACCCTATATTATCCCCGTCTCCCTATTATCACAAAGGAAAAGTAGTTTGAAACGCCGGAAGATAAAACGTTCAGCGCCCGCGGAGAGGAAACATGTGTTCGAAACACGTGCTCGGTACCGGTTACACACACTTATCAGTTCTACGATTACAAATCCGCTAATTCTACCGGCGACCGCAACTGTCACGGCCTCGTGGGATGCTCGATTAGCTTCGACCGCAAATAGCGTCGATTTACCAGCGCCTGCGAATGGCACGGCTGCATCGTCGGCCACGCGGCGCAAATGCACTTTGCAAAACGGTCGCACCTTTTCGTCACGTGCTTTCGCTCTCTCGGTGTCGGTACTTAAATGCGCGCGGTGTCCGGCAGGCCGCGAAAAATAAATAAATAGCGCGCCATTTTTTTCACGGCGTTTCTTTTTTGGACTCCAGGAAGTTTCTCGTTTCTTGAAATCGAGCCTTTCTGCCAAAAAAATCATTGAGCGGGAAAATCGACCAGAAAACCAATAATTCGATTTTCCCTCGCAACTACCCTCTTCGGCAAGGTTGAAATTTCGTGCAGAAAATTCTTGCATGATCAAATGTATGTTCCATACCTTGTACCTAAGTAGAAATGTTAATATTACAGGCTGCGCTTCGTTCACGGATTGAATTATCCGAATTCCTGCTGGACACCGCAGGCATTAATCGACGTATGCAATATCTCGAATCGCGCAGCCGATGTCTCTGCACTTTGACGGCCCTGGCCCTGGTTTAGCGCGCCATTTCCCCAAACTATGTCTATGGAAACAGGCACGCTTTCTTTGAACACTAAATAGGACAATTATCGTTTAACACTTTAAACGTTACAAGTTTCAAAGAGCAAAGAGCAACAGCGAACTTCAAAAGACGTATTCCCGCTAAACCGCTAGAGAACAAGACATCGAACCCCTACCATTATTAAATCCTTTTAGTCGATGAAAGAAATATTCGGCTCGTCACCGTTCGAGTACGAGAACAGTAATTCGCATAAAGGCCTGCCAGTCTGTGCCCGAAACGATACACTTTTGCATACAACAGTCTGCACAGATCTTCGACGCTGGGTTTACGGAATCCGTGAAAACGTCGCGCGCGCGGATCGCTGGTTATTTAATTAACAATCGTTCGGATTGTTAACATACATTCACGAGTTATTTATTCAATATACACGTCGCTTGCGGCGAATATTACAACAGACAAAAATCGGAATAAATGTCTTATTAATTTGACAAACTAATACATGAAACAGCTGCTCCGTAAATCTAGCGTCGAAGACCGCGGTCATGTTCAAACCAAAGCCATGTGCTTCCAAGGACACGCGTCCAGGCCGTCAAAACGTTCGCAGATCGTTCAGCCCCGACAAGGCAGACACAGCCCGCGTTCAGAATTGGCCGCGAAAATTGGCAAACCGGAAGCGTCCCGACCGCTAAGTCGGGATCGGTGGAGGACTACCAACAGAGTTGGTGGTAGAGGAACCCTAAAATGACAGGGTGGTATTGCACTGCGAGTGATCCCGTTCGCAAAAGAAACGTCTCCCGTCGTTCGGACGACGGCTGTTCGCGCGATAGCGAAGGAAGATAGCGTAATCACAACGGAAGCATGATCAGAGGTGCGCCAGCACCTCGACGGCTGCGACGGGGGGCGTCTGGTCGCCGCTGAGGATCACCGGCTCGGACTCGGTCTGCACGATCCTGACCAAGTTCGCGTCCTTCTTCGACGGCGCCATGTTCGTGCTCGATGCGACGTTCGATCTGGCGCAATAGCTCGGCGGTCTGCTTTCTCTGGTCGTGCCCGGAGTCACTATACTGCCGGCGTTGGACCTGTAGGTCGGCGGTGGCGACGACGTCGGCTGCAAACGGTCCAGCAGAAGTAGTCGCAGCCTGTACTCTTGCATGCTCGCCTGCAACACGAACGTTCGTTAGTATCGACGTTTTGAAATTATCTAATTTATTGTTAAAATATAAGGAGACGAGATATATTTTTATTTTATTTTCGTCGCTCGCGAATTTTTATTTCCGGCAGAATATTTTTATTCTGTAGAAGGGTCCACGTGGTCATAGTCAGCACTTCTGGTATTTTATATTTTTTTTTCTCCATGCTTTTAGCGATGATTCGTAAGTTAGGATTTCAGTACACGTTCGTTTGCCGCCGGCGTTTACCTTTTAGCTGTAAACGCGACACCGCTGCCGGTGCCACCAGCAATTGGCCGTCTTGTAGGCCACAGCAAGATGGTGCCGACGGACGGCGGAGTGTTAATTAACTTCTCAAACGGCACCGACAATTTTAACGCGCCAACAAATTGCTTCCAGCAACGTGATCCACAGTAAATTGTACAATTAAATGAAACGTTCGCGTTGATAAGCCTCGGACGTTCGGCGTACGAATTTCGCGAGTTGAATTAACGATAGAATTAAATCATTGCAAACTGTGTAGGCAAATTGTTTAAACTATAGATTAACTATAGGGAACTATATAGAGAAGTTGCGGTTTTTAATTAAAAATTACCCCGTTAGAATATCAGAAACATCGAATTGGTTTCAGTAATTTTTTTGTATTAGTTAAACTTACTACGTGCTAATTAAGTTACGACGCATTGGTAGCTTATGCGCATAGAATTTACGATTTTACGCGTGCATTAGCGTCCGAAAAGTACTCGCCGTATTAATTAATTCCCTATGGAATTTAATATACGACGACATTTATGGAGAATTGTTCTCCAACGGCCGCCATCTTGGAACAAGAGAAAACCCGGAAGCTACCAGAAGCAATGGTAAATTCTAATCAAGCTTTTTCAACGAAACAATGGTTATTGTTTCCGTCTCACATTGATATTTAAAGTAAGTATTGAATAACGCTGATAACATCTACTGTGTTGCATAAAATAAGGCTACAATAATTAAGGTTACACTGAAAGAGCTGACACGTGTATGAAAGGGACCCCATAGTACACGCTGCTGCTTACGAATGCAGATACAAACGTGCAGTCTTTTAATTATACGAAAAGTGAAGACGGGTAATGTACATACATATATCTTAACGAAGTAATAACGTGTGAGGAAGCAATTAATGGAAAGTGAAATTTGAGGATGTGAATTAGTGGTATGATCACTTTCAAAGCCGTAGTATAATAAGCGATTCTTCTGAAAACAATTTACATAATTCTAGTACATATGTATAATGTACTGTTGCGCGAGTGTCGAATGTAATTTCGAACGATACTGTACTTTATCGTACGGCCGTCAGAATTTTATTCGCGAATTTGAGTTTTCTAAATGAAACAGGTAATATTCGTTTCATTATAAAATTAACATTAATATATTCGTATATATATATATAAATATATTAATATATTATTATATTATAATATAATTATTATAATATATAATATAATATATAGTTATTATATAATAATATATATATAAAATATTATATTATATTATATTATTAATTCGTTACATTACTATTATTATTGTTATTATTAATGATTTTAAATTGCAAGGCGTGCATTAAATACTTTTGGCAATTCAATGTTAAAAACCGTTTCGAACATGATAAATAAGAATTTGTGAAATAATGACCCAGTTTTCAAAGGAACGCTTAAAGCATCTTTTCGAACTAAATTACTAAATTATCCGCAGAAAATTACGTAGCCGTTCGACAAGCACACAAATCCGCGGCTGTAGACGTTCCCTTTCAAGATACAGCTACTCATCGATCGACTAATCGTCGCGCTAGTTAAAGGAACGCTGATAGCATCTTCATTTTCAATTTAACGTTTCACGATCCAGAAACTAATATTTTTACAGTAATTAAAACATTGACTTAAACATCCTGACACAATTCTGTGATGCAGAGACAAACATCGATATACAATGCAGCATTGAACCTTGGACGGCGATCATTTTCGAGTAATTATAGTGGCCATGAATGTTTGCCCATTCAAGTCTTTACGGTATAATATTTAATTTAAATTTTTAATTTCAAATTTGAAATTTTAATTTTATAATATTTATTTGTATATCTCTAAACCAGTTTTATTGAGACCGAAGCTAATCCTTTTGTCTGACTCAATATTAACAGCTGGTAATTAAAAATGACTGTCACAAAATTAGAACTTGCACGGAATCTTTGTAACTCTGGGTCAAAATGGACCCGACGCCCGCCAACCGAGGACCAACGTTGCTTCAATTATACACCGTGCCTCGATAAACGATGCTCCAATTGTACAGACTATCTCGTGAAAATACAATAAATTCTCCCTAATTGACGTTCAGATTGTGCACAAAGAAAATATTTTTTTTATAATTATTAGCAATCGATAACTATAAAAACGAGCCGCAAGGCTCGAATAATCGTGTCTCCTCCTCCGAAATTGTCCATTTTTGTGCCGAATCTGTGCATCGGTCAGGGAGAATTTACTCTACCGCCTCAATTATATTATATAGGGTGTCTCTCGAAAAAGACACCGATCAAGTTGCTAGCTAATGAAAGAGTTGTCTTCGTTATTTTGATCGCAGAATGACGGCATTTCGGAAACGTCACCTGATAGCTCGGCGGCGGCGTTCTGAACTGGAACTCCGGATAGATCATGGCAGCGTACGGATGGATCGGCCTCGCTGGCGGGATCCTGCCCGAGATCCCCGTGAAACCAAAGAAACTACCGCAATTTTCTCGACTGGTCACTCGCCACGCTACAGCGCTCACAGTTACCAGAACCACTCCTATACCTGCAACGGAACACGCCTGGTCAGCGTCGGTGCGTGGACACCCAGCGAAATTAAACAACACGCGATCGACCGATAATAGAATCGGTTTCGATCTCGACCATCCTCGTTCCTGCTAAGTGAACGTTCGCATGGCCGGGCACGGGACATCGCGTTCGTACCGGTGCACACGATATTTGTCGTGTTTCCAGGAAAATTGGGAGCCCCAGGTTAACTACGATGCAGACTTCCTGCATCGATAGCGAATGGCAGTATCCTAATTTTTTGTTCGGTAAGCAGGAAATCGGTGTTCTCAAATTCTGTTAAATATTACTGTTAAATTTCTATAATGACGTTAATCATTTCTTTATAGAAATTATTGACGTTAATGATACATTATTGACGTTAATAATTTATATAATGACGTCAATAATTTATATAATAACGTTAATAATTCATATAATGACGTTAATAATTTATATAATAACGTCAATAATTTATATAATGACGTTAATAATTTATATAATAACGTTAATAATTTATATAATGACGTNAATAATTTATATAATGACGTCAATAATTTATATAATAACGTTAATAATTCATATAATGACGTTAATAATTTATATAATAACGTTAATAATTTATATAATGACGTTAATAATTTATATAATATTATTAGTAATTTATACACTTGTATACATTGTTATACATTTGTGTAAAGTATTAATATTAATATTTACATTATACGGATATTATTATAGTAAAATCATGTGATAACAATTTACATAGATAATCATTAATAATAAATTGATAGAATTAATTGAAAATATTGTAGCGGGAAATTACACAGTCTGCGTTTATCAGCAGATTTCCTGCATCGATAGCGAATGGCAGTATCCTAATTTTTCGTTCGGTAAGCAGGAAATCGGTGTTCTCAAATTCTGTTAAATATTACTATTAAATTTATATAATGACATTAATAATTTCTATAATGACGTTAATAATTGATATAATAACGTCAATAATTTATATAATGACGTTAATAATTTATATAATAACGTTAATAATTTATATAATGACGTTAATAATTTATATAATATTATTAGTAATTTATACACTTGTATACATTGTTATACATTTGCGTAAAGTATTAATATTATTATTTACATTATACGGATATTATTATAGTAAAACCACGTGATAACAATTTACATAAATAATCATTAATAATAAATTGATAGAGTTAATTGAAAATATTGTAGCGGGAAATTACAGTCTGCGTTTATCAGCAGATTTCCTGCATCGATAGCAAGTGGTAGTATCTTATTTCTTTCAGTAAGCAGGAAATGGGTGCTCTTAAATTCTGTTAAATATTACTGTTAAATTTCTGTAATGACGTTAATAATTTATATAATGGTATTAACAATTTATATAATATTATTAGTAATCTATACACTTGTATACATTGTTATACATTCGTGTAAAGAATTAATATTATTATTATACAGATATTGTTATGTAACATTATTATACATTTGTATAATAAAATCACGTAATAATAATTTACATAAACAATTATTAATAATAGATTGAAAGAATTGATTCAAAAATTATAGGGGGAAATTACAGTCTGCGTTTGTCAGCAGACTTCCTGCAACGATAAGTGGCAGTATCTTATTTTTTCTACAGTAAGCAGGAAATAGCTGTTCTTAAATTCTGTTAAATATTTCTGTTAAGTTTATATAATAACATTAATAATTCATACATTTGTATACATTGTACATTCGCGAAAGTTATTAATATTATTATTTACATTATATAGATGTTGTTACATAATATTATTATATATTTGTACGATAATATTCCATAATGATAATAATTTAATAATTTAATAATTTAATAATTTAATTGTAGATTGAAAACATTGAAGGGGAAAAGGACAATGTCTAAAACTGCGAGTCGCGTGTGAAGAAGCTAGTTAAATACAACAGGCAGTGATGACGGTGTCGTTACGCATTGTCGTGTGTTCTCACGAAAGTCGGCATACGAGAATAGTGAGAGCTGAGAAAACATCCTGCGGTAGGGAAACGTAATTATCCGAGTTTTCGCGGCTACTTGCACACCCATCGCACACCCGCGCCGATCTTTCCACTTTTCCGCCTCGGCCTCTGGAATTCCTTAACTAAACGCGGCCATTTCTTCGCTCTGCTCGGCGTACAGTTGCCGATGAAAGTGCCCGTCGCACGGCGGCAGGCCTTTGTCAACGCGCAGCCGCCATATTGGCTAATTAAATACACAAAAGGTCCTAAAACTGAAACTTAGCCGGGGGGGGGGGGGACTGGGCTAACGTTTGTATCTGTTACGCCAGAAAACACTGGACGAAGGTTGGTCGCTTCGTTCGTAAGAAATCATCGAGTATTGCGCAATGTAACACGATCCGAGCTAGAATGTCGGTCCGACGATACCAACTCGAACACGGAACTTCGTTGCTTGCGGTTATATCTCTGCGAAACCGTCGTCAATGGATTCGCGAGATTTTTCCGGTTGAAACGAGTCCAAACATGACGTACTTTCGACCATGTTTATTTGCAACTTCATTATTTGCAACTATGTGCTGAATAATTAAAAACGATTCGAATTGTGTCGCGTTTCGACTCATCTCCAATAGACTTGCAGATTAAATTATAATAAACCCAACTTGTCCGATCAAAACAAAGACCAAACGCGACACTTTCCGTTACATTTATTTGCAACATCAGAACTTGCAACAATGTACGGACCAAGGTGAAAGTGACCCAAAGTGCGTCGTGTTTGTACTCATTTTAATCAGAAAAATCCCACGAATACGTTGGCGCAGGTTACGCCGAGAAATAAGCAAAAGTCAAAGACCGTACTTAATTTCTGTTACAATTGTAATCGACCCAGGGGCACTGTAACGTCGTCCTTTATTCGCCGTCCCCCCACGGTGGACACCTGCTACGCAAACAAGCGTGTAGCAGTCCGTAAACAAATGGTCGTCCCCGGGCCCGAAGGTCAATCACCATCAAAGAGGAACATTGCAGTAGCAGTTTCCAGTTTGTTCGGTGTAACCAGGTGTCCGGTGACTTATGGACCGGAGTGCGAGCGCAAGGTGCCCGATATAGCGGTGCAGGGGAGGCGGATAGAATGGAATGAGCACATAGAAAGGACGGCGTCGAATGGGACGGACAACATTGCTCAGGATAATAAAGCGTTGGGACGAAGCGAGAAAATAAAGGACAGAGACCCGCGCGCGAGAGATAAAGATAAAGAGAGAGAGAGAGAGAGAGAGAGAGAGAGAGAGAGAGAATTGCCCCCGTCTCGCGAGAAGAGCCTTGCATCATGGTCCTGGTAAAACGCGTTAAAACCTCTCATAATCTGAATTCACGGCGTCGCGCGCGGGTCTTTCGAATTTTCCGATAACGGCCCGCATTCCGTTTCCCAATATTAAACTCCCGCCGTTGAATTTCCATCGAAAATATTTTCACCGCTCGACGGCGATCAAATTAAATAGGATCGAAAATTGGAAACCGAAGCCGCGTTGTTGAAACGATTGAAACGTTCAAATTCAATCGGGTCATTGTGGTTCTGTGCGTTTCGAAAACAACGCGACATAACCTCGAAAAGACCCCGATTCGAGAAACGAAACAAGCGACGCGCCGCCGGAGAAGTTTTATCGTCGTTTTCGTTTATTCCGAATTTTCTGCAGCTCGAATCTCACGGTTGCCCCGCGTGTAGGCGTAAGACGTCGGTCTCTGTAGGTTAAAGCTTTCTCCCATTGTGAGAGCCATTCTATGCGGGTCGCAGGTTACATGCCCACGTTTAGAAAGTAACCGTTGCGAGCACGATTCCCCTTCTATCGTCGCGCCGCGAGCGCCGGATCCGACCAACGGGAGGTTCTCTCGCGGTTTCTTGCTACTACTCCCTATTTCATAATTTTTCATTCGCGGCCGTAGGAAAACGCGGCTGGAAAACTGTACGGTCCCCGAGTTTTTCCCCTCCGCAGCGTGGATCGAGGACGCGCCGTGATCGTACGGAGTTAACGCGTGCGGCTTCCTATTCGCTGAGCTGCTCGGTGCCACGTGGCGAGAGATGGAGGGTCATTGGATGCGTCACGAAGGGTGGAGGTAAAACGCGACGCTAAACGAAATATGATAACCGGGACTCGAGGAAATCGCATTCGTTTCCTGAACTTTCAGACGTTCCTGAGGAATCTGTTTACCTACCGGTGGTCAATTACCTCCGTAAGGTCTCACTGATCGTTAGAGAAACGTGACAAAAATTGCTTCTCGTTCGTTGACTATACTGTGTACGATGGAGAGCATGATTGTAGACTCGAAGTAACTTTTACATTGTTACTGATATCTAAAGGAAATATCATATTTGTATATTTCTGTTTTGTAGTATTTTTAATATAGAAGTACAGAAACATGGTATTTTGTTAAGTCTTTTAAATATACAAGGTGTCTCAATTAGAGGCGGCCACCTACAGTGCCGCTGTGAATAATCGCAAACTCGAAGTAACTTTTACCGTTTTACTGATATTTGAACAAACACCAAAAAGACCATATTTGCATACTTCTATTTTCTCTTATTTCTGATATAGAAATATACGAATATGATATTTTAAGTTTTCGTTTAAATGTCACTAAAAATGTAAAAGTTACTTTGAGTCTATAATTATTGACACCACTGTGTGTGTAGAGTTTTGTATGAAACATAACCTCTTCAGTGTAAATAACGGGAAATTATACATGCCAAGAAACGTGACATTATGGAGGAGAGCTTTTAATACCTGTTCTACATCTAAAAGAAAATAAGTATCGTCCAGTCTAAGTTGCCGTTATTATCGAAAAATTTAATGTGAGGCCGTCGTTTGTTAACAAAAGTCAAAAATATAATGCATTCTATTGCATAAAGTTTTCTCCTAGGGTCTTCTTATTTCGAAAATATGTTACAGCTAAAACAGTTCAGTATCGCTTACCGATCATGAGGAGTGCAACGGCAATGTGATCGCGGCCCGAAGCCCTTAGGGCCCCCAGCAGAGCGCCAGCACCCGCGCATACAAGGCCCACTACGCCCACGCCCAGAATGGACCAGCGTACAGGTGGAGAACCAAGGCCGCAACATTGCTTCGGCACTGCGTCCCTGGAATAGGAAATTCTATACTGTGGTGGTCACTCTGATGGAAATGGAACTGTCCACCCTACAGCCCCAAACTGCCCTGCTTATCGACATTCCCTTTGTCCCTTTGGAATCGAAATACTCAAAACAGTGTGAGAAGTTCAATAGAAAAGATGTGCAAGTGAAAATTTATCTCAAACAAGAGACCAGTCTAATGAATAAAAATCAGTATTTATCTCTAGAGAAAATATAATATAATATAAATATGATATAAATATAATATGAGTACAATATGAATATAATATAAATATAATTTAAATATAATTTATATATGATATAAATATAACATAATTATATAACATAATTAATCAGTATTTATCTAGAGAAAATATAATATAATATAAATATGATATAAATATAATACGAATATAATATTGTGAATATAATATAAATATAATTTATATATAATTTATATATAATATAAATATAACATAATTATATTATAAATATATTATAAAAAATATAATATACAAATATATTATAAATATATCATAAATATATTATGAATATATTATGAATATATTATAAACATATTGTAAAAAATTACTAGACTGCAGATCCTTATGCAAAATCAAAAATCTCGTGCATCGATTGCAACAAACAGAAAATGCACAAACACGTATTCCTGTCTTGAGTAATTTTAGTCAGTTATAAATAATACAAACAAATTATTCAGTTCTCCTAACAGCGTCACTGTTCTCCGTTTCAACCGCCCCGTTTTCGTTGCAAATGCCATGAAATTCGCGGTCTAATAATTACACCTGTAATTTTTCGTTTCACGTGGAATCTCTAAAATTCCTAACCCTTTCACCGACGAGCGAATGATAAAAGAAACAGCTCTCTTCCACGTTCATTCACTCTTGCCAAGCAAGCGCGCACTCGGCGCAGAATAGACGCGGCGACTCGACTTTCTAGATGAAAAGATTTCCCAGAAAAACTGAACCCTTTCAAAATGTAAACAAAAGAGACAATGCGAGATCTCGAGATTTCGACAATGCCCGCTTTCCCACCCATCCTAATGTACAAAACACGCGCAGCCCTTTTGAATCGGTGGGAACTGTGTCGAGAATCGTCCCAAGGGACGAGGGAGGAGGAGGGCTACCGAACAGTGAGGCGTCTCTACCTGCCAAAAGCAGAGACGCTGGTCGAGACAGGGAAAGGTAGCCCGAGGCTGAGCCCCCTAAGACCCAGATGCGGCGGCGGAGGGTGCAGGAATCCCCTCGGCGGCGTCACCAACGGCACCCCGGGCGCGGTCGAGGCTTGGCATCCCGGCGACGTTCCCGGATAAGACGGTGGCATCGAACAGGACCTCAAGGCTCGCCGATGTTGCCTGCGCAACCGCCTCTCTCTTCTACGCGCGCCCCGGACACCGTCCAAATCCTCAAGCGCCTCTGGACCGCTTTGCAACGCCAGCTCCGTCTGGGCTTCCGTCGACGTGAACGACCGGCCATTCTCTCGCGGCTCCTGGAACAGTTAGCAGAAACGGATTGAATCGTCTTATCGCGCCGGTGACCGGGTCAATTTTGTCCGGAAAATACGTCGGGATCGTTGTTCGAACCATTTAAGCGGCGGAGGATATGTCACGAGAAAATATTGTTTTCGTAATATTTTTAACATTCTTGATAAATAACGGCTCTTCAATTTCTCCTTATTTCTTCTTGCTTTATGAACTTTCGAGTTATCGGGTATTACAACATTTTTGCAATTTCTTTCCGAAATTTTATCGAGGTACATACGTCTAATAGATTCGGTATACGTATACTATTTCGATCGGGTACACACCTCCTCTGGAACGAATATTTTAGTGAGCACTAAGAGGGTTTAGCGTTCAATTTTTAAGTTAGAGCAATATTTGTTACGTTGACAGCATTATTTGCAACGTATTTTGCAACGTTCTACTTGCAAATGGATGACATAAATGGGTTAACCCCCTTGCGGTAGTAGCCGGGTCAATCTCGACCCGCAGTATCAAAACTATTAATTTAAACATTCGATTTTTAAGTTAGATGAATAATTGTTACATTGGCAGCATTATTTGCAATGTATTTTTAACGTTCTACTTGTAAATGGTTGACAAAAACGAGTTAACCCCCTTGCGGTAGTAGTCGGGTCAATCTCGACCCGCAGTATCAAAACTATTAATTTAAATATTCAATTTTTAAATTAGATGAATAATTGTTACATTGGCAGCGTCATTTGCAACGTATTTTTCAACATTCTACTTGTAAATGGTTAACATAATCGGGTTAACCCTCTTCCGGTGGTGGCCGGGTCAATCACGACCCGCAGTATCAAAACGATTAATTTAAATATTCGATTTTTAAGTTAGATGAGTAATTGTTACATTGGCAGCATCATTTGCAACGTATTTTTCAACGTAAATGGTTGACATAAACGGGTTAAGCCTGTTCCGGTGCTGACCAGGTCAATCTCGACCCGATGTATCGAAGTCGTCGTTCGTGTATTCAACTTCTGACAATGAAATTAGATTAAATGATGGCTATATCAGGAGTACGATTTATAAAGAATTTTCAAAGTCCTGCTCCTTTAACAGTTGGCGCCACAATTCCTTAATGAAAAGGAAAAAAATATAATAATGTAAAATTACGATAACGTAAAATTGTTGCATTTTTGAATACCACTCAGACACAGATTGAACTTTTAGGACAACCGACCATTACGTCACGTGTACACTATATGTTGTGGTCTTAAACAGATGAAAAGTTAATCACTATGTGACGATTACTGAGCCTTTTCTAGTTACTATGCCAGTTTCTACACTATAATTCAGTTACTGTGTACCAGTTTCTGTACGCTGATCTAATTACTGTGCTTCAATTATTGTGATCACAGTTCTAAGTAAATAATTCGATAACAAAAGATATTTTTAAAAAATATAAAAAATTCTGTATTAAACTATTTAGCATGATTTATTGTACATGTTTGAAACACACATACGCATATGGGTTTCTTCTCTCCATGTGTGTATTGACACTGTATCGGAATTTCCTTTGAACTTTACGTGAATTCAAATTTCATGTGTAGTTTCCCAATTAAGAAACAGATAGCAGCACTATGATGTCGCAGAAAGATGGCGGATAGTCTTTAGATTCTCGTAACGGATTTGGCAGCACCCCTCGCCCGCTGATAAGCCGAGCGTACGCATTGTCTATCTGATAGGTGGTGGTGAAACGCAGTGAAACATCGCGAAACAGCGCGAAGTGAGAAATAGAAAACAATTAATTCTTCTCGTTATTTCCAAGGTATATCTTACGTGTTGCCATGGTAAATTATTCATCGTGCGGTTTATAATAATAATAATAATAAAAAAAAACAGAAAACTACACCGATGAAACCACAGTGAAAACAACGCTTGTATGTAGTGGCTTTAAACAGATGAAAAAGTTAATCTCTGTTTGTCGGTTACCGAGCCTTTTCTAGTTACCGTGCCAGTTTCTGCACACTTATTTCGTTACTGTGTCTCGGTTTCGGTACGCTGATCTAATTACTGTGCTTCAATTACTGCGATCAGTTCTAGGTAAATAATTCGATAACAAAAAATTCGGTAAAAAAAAACATGGAATATTCCGCATTAAATTACTTAGCATAATTTATTATATGTACACGTTTCAATACTTTCGGTAATTATTCGGAAAAGAAAGTTAGGTTAGGTGTAGGCACGTGGTTTGCCATGGCAGAGGTTAATGATCAACGCGCCCGTCGAAAAAGGCATGAGAACTTGATCCAGTTCGAGTGCACAGTAATAGAAACCAGACGTAAATTTGTTTCATTTACTGAGTTACTTTATATAAAACAATATATTTAAGAATTATTATTATTACGAATTATTATATAATTATAATATATATTATAATATATATATATATAATTATTATATATTATATAATTATTATTATTATTAAGAATTATTATTGTTTTTATGAATGTAATAATTTCTTCGTCTGCGGGTAAAAGCTTATGGAAAGTATCGTTTTTGTATTTTTCTCATCTTTATATGCGACGTTATTCTTCGGTTTTTAACAAGATCGATACAAAAACACATCAAATCGTTAAAAAATTTCCACATTTTATAGGTCTTAAGATGTTAAACTTTCCATTGGATTATTAAAATTACGGATCAAGTTTGATTGAAAATAATCGATATCTTTAATTTAATCATATTGCTTTTAAACATACGTAAAATTATTGCAAGCGTATAGTAACCAGGCAGTGATACAGTAACTGACATAATTTCACTAGATCTGAAATGATTTGAGTTTATTCAGGTAACATTGTCCAGAGAGAGAGAGAGCTTATTAAACAATAACTGTAATACTTTTCTTTTTAAATTTTGCTACTGGAGTGACAAAACAAATAAGAAAACTCATGTTTTTTATCTTTTTTATCTAAACCTATAACGGAGATTTAAAAAATACGTTTCGTAGATCTCGGCAACATATTATTGCATGTTGAAAATTTGATCGAAATCGCTTAACGCATGTGTCAAGCTACAAATATTGGAAAGGTTTTAAAAAACTGCAGATTTATGACAGTTATTGGTCGAAAGTGTCAAAAATCGTGTAAATACTGCGATCTTTAATTGTTCACTGTTCATATCAAAGTCATCCAATCTCAATGAAGTTTTCACCATGCACATAGGTTATCGACATATGCAAAACGCATTTTTAAAATTTTCAATGTTGGCTCAAGTAAGTTTGTTAATTTTTTTTCTGTCATTCCAAATAATAGCAAAATTAAAAATAGGTATTGTATATAATCCTTCATTCATCTAAATATCTGTATATACTATATATTATAAAGTATATTATAATCTATATATAATCCTTCTTTCATTTATAAAATAATCCTTCTTTCATCTTAAAAGAAACTCAAGTCATTTAGTTCAATTTTTCAAATTATCTTAAGTATATGGCCATTACTGTGTACATGTATATGACTATGTATGACTGTATGTAATTTGATCAACGTTTCTCACTGCCTGTGCCGCGTTTTCATTTATGTCCTTCACCCTTTGACTTACTAATTCTTTCGTTTATTTTGCTTCTCTCTCTCTCTCTCTCTCTCTCTCTCTCTCTCTCTCTCCCTCTCTTACTCAGTCTCTATTGCTCTCACTCACTTCCTTTCAGTTAAACAAACAGAGCGCTCCGGACGAAATTCCTCCGTACTATAGGTACAATAGAAGAAATTGCGTGGTAAAGGTGAAACTAATGGGTGCTCGAATAAAACCGCGCGTCCCGAAGTTAAACCAACGTCGCCGTGTAATAAAGAGCACCCGTTGGTTCCACCTCCACCTTGTAATTTCTTCCACTACCGTGCCGAGAAAACGTAAGCGGCGAGCACAGATCATTCAGAACCTTCAACTCCATCCCAAAGACTCTGCTTTCACAGCCAAAATTTTCCCAAATCAGACTGGAACCTATACTACAATCTCCAATAATTTGACTAATTCATTGCATCAGTTCTCTCGAACATCCTAGTATTGCCAGGGAATTGATGGCGCGAGCAGTGCAGCCACAAAAAGTCGCTACGCTCCACACCGCTGTGCGGGACTCCTACGCATGCGCCGCCTGTCCCCACTCCTCTGCGCGGGACTCCAGCGCATGCGTCGCCTACCCCACTCCTCGCGCAACGACTTTCCGCGACTGCGCCCGAAAGAACTGGAAGTGGGGAGTGTCGCGCCGCACTGCGTTGCTCTCGGCGCCTCCCACTCTTCTCCTCCTCCCTTCGCGATTAGGAAAGTGGGGGGAAGTTCTAGAAGTTCTTACGGCACGGGACACGTACGTTCCTAGTAAAACAAAGCTACCACGTGGTCAACGTAACCTCAAAAAGCAATAACCTATTGGTGAAATACAAAGACTCGGCGAAGGAAAAACTAAAGGAAAACAAGTCTCTCGAACTAACGACGACGAACAATAAACAATTTTAAACAATAGGCATAAATTCAACTCGAAGTATCGATATTACATAATTCGAGTACTCGAATTCTAGCATATAAGGTGATTATAAACATAACAAAGGTACATTAGGAAAATTCTAAGGTACATTAAGGAAATTCTAAGGTACATTAGGAAAATTCTAAGGTACATTAGGTAAATTCTAAGGTGCATCAGGGACGCACAACAAAATTTTGACGTTTCTCAGCGGTGTCGCGGCAAAAGTAAAAAAAATAAAAGAAAGGGCCAAAGAGCCATAGAGCTGTTTATTTGCGGACGCCTCTGCCTCCCATACTATCGCATCCCACTTCAACGATCCCGGTTAGGGTCTCGCTCCGCGCGGCCGGTCGAAACCGGTACCGCGATCAATTTCAGGCCGGCGATGGGGGTAACGGGCACGGGAGCCGTGCCCAGCGAAGGAGGGAGGGGGCGAGCGTCAACAGAGAGAACGCAGTCGACAGCTCGCCGGCCGTTTGCGCAGGTCGTCGAAGCATCCGGCTGGCGCTTGTC